GCAGGGTCATTATCGTTAACATTTTCTAAACTGAAATAAAATAAGATCGGAAAATAAATATTGCTTCTGAAAGTAACTGCAATGAAATAGTTAAACGTCAAACACTTTTCATTACTGTTTGTAGATACTATGTAGGTAAAATTATGAATTGTTTATCTTTGGGATTTTTTCGTGCATGTATTGTACCATGGAAATAGCGAATGGTACTACTAGCTAACTAAATTCTACAACTTTATTTTATTAACTAAATTACTAAAGCTTAAACTGAGACTAAAATATATGAAGACTAAATCGATATACTTCTACAAAATAAAAACTACGAAAACCACACCGAAAACTAATTAAAGCTAAACTGGATATCAAATGAAAATTGAAAATAATATAAAAACTAAATAAAAAAAATCAAAACTATACCACTGATACAAGGACATAGATAGGAATATGGCATTGCAGTTACAAGCGCATTTTATTTCAGTTTGCAGCCATCTGGGAATTTTTATAATCCTTCAGTGAGGAATCGTATAAATTCTGGAATTTCCGGACTTCCTCAGCCAACCATTCTTCGAATCCATTAGCTATGTTTGTTTTCAGTCTGATCAGACAGGTTACAAAAGGTGTTTGTATATAATCTTTAGTCCGATCTCCTTTATGTATTTCTGGTACTTTTCGTCTGGCCAATGAACCATCGATGTGTGTTTGTGTCACTGAACAGACCGTTGTCTTTGTTACAATTTTTGAGTGGTCATCACCCGACTGTGGTGATGAAAATGACATTGGGGGGGGGGGGGATGATATATATATATGGGGTTCTTTAGGGAGGTCGAAGTAGGATTTAGGCCTTTTGCCCGGATGACATTTAAACCCCATCTTATTCTGCATGCATCTCCAGATTTCATCCTCTGTATTCTTGATCCACTAATATACACTGAGAATGTGACACAGCTTGAAGTTAAAGGTAAAACTGCAAGTGAAATATAGACTTTTCTCTTATGTGCTATTTGTGACCTGACCCCTGCTGGTCAGGGCTGGACATGACAGCTTTTGAAGCTCCAGCCCCCTCCCCGTGTGCTCGCCTGCCCCTGTCTAGGAGCGGTGGCGCTCACGTTGCTCTGACCACATCCTGCCAGCAGTTTGCAGAATTGCACGGAAGCCTCCCTGTCACCCAGCCCGTGACAGACACACACATGCGCAGGCAGGCAGGCAGGCACACATGTGCACACACACAGCTTGTGGATAAACGCGCGTGAGGCAGCGGATGGCAGAACCGGCAGGCTGCGACGGCGGCGGCTTGGAGCGCGGCTCCCCGCAGAGGTGACAAAACACCACCACGGTGTCTGGACAGGAGAGAACTCCCAGGGTTCCCTCCAGATTTATGGCCGCTTTCCCCCCGATTGTTTGGTTAAGGGATGAAGAAAAGCATACGCCACCGTTGGCTGGGGAAGCCAGATTATACAGGAAGCGGCCGTCCCTGCATTACGCGGGGGAAGAGAATCGTCTACCAGACCTGTTAAGGCACAAATGAGTGTGAATCTAAATCAGCCTCGCCACATTCGGTTAAATATATACACTCAGTGAGGGGAGGGGGCTAGGGGTGTGTCCTCTCTGCACGGAAGGCGTTTGCAGGCGGTCATGTGTTCTCCATCGCGCTGCTTGCTGTGCTCAAACGGCCTGCTGGGTCGCACAGCCAGTGGCTTCGTGCTATAAGGTTGCTGATGGCCCTCCACCCACCCCCAGCGAAGCACTTAAGACTTTGACGTATCTCTGTTGTGGGTGGATGAATTGATGGGGGGGGGGGCAGTTTCTCTAACCTGACCTAGTTTTCTCCCTCTCTCTCTCTCACACACACACACACACACACACACACACACACACACACACAGAGTGACTGCAGATTTCCTTTGTTTTTATCTTTTGAAGTTTTAGTTGTGTCTCCTTTGGAGAAACCACATCTTGAGCTCCCCCCCCCCCCCTTCAGGACGAAGATGAGGCTTAAGGAGTAAAAGTGTGAACAGGAAACCAATAATCCATCCATCTGTTTTACCCTAACCGCTAACCCAGGATGGGATTGTGGTGACTCTGGAGTCTATTCTAGGAAAGGCAGGGCGCGAGGCAGAGGGGGACACCCTGGACTGGATGTCAGCCTACGGCAGGCTACACCAAAGGCGACTTAAAGACACCAATTTAGCTAACTGCATGTTTTTGGATTGTGGGAGGAAACCAGACTCAAATGAAAGTTGTAAAAAAGAAAAAGCAATATTCATTCTTCTTTTTTTTTTTTTATATCACATTTTCACAAGATTCAGGCTCATGAAAACCACAGGAAACTGAACTTCGAGCCCCACTTTTTAGCATCGCGCCTCAGCAACAGCCTATACACACATCTCAGTGCCTCCCCCTGGTCTAACTGGGAATCGTCTGTGAGCCAGCGATGCATTTATGTGTTGTTTTATGTCTGGTGTCTAGCCAGCTGATCGTGAAGCAGAGAGATACGTACTGCAGCTTGGCCAGTAGTTGAAGATATTTTAGAATATGCAGCTTAGCATGTGTAGAAGATACACATGCAGTTGTGCACGTTTTAAAGTACTGTGGTACATCCAGGGTTCTGACTGACCAAAAGAAGAGGATGTTTCCTCTGTGTGTGCTGGTTTATATAACTGTAAATTCCAGGAATAAAATCTTTCTTTTTTAATCTCTTGCACATGGGGGCAGAGCTAGGCTTCTTTGGAAAAGATTTTTCTGGAAAAAGCCGG